TCTCTGCCACTAGTTAGGTATTTTCCACAAAAGTTAAGAAAGATGATCTAGAAAAGTCTTCTAGAGATGTCATCTTAATTTTTTTGAATCATGCATTATAAAAAAGTACGTAGGCACTTTTGAAAATTAAAGGCAATCCATTGACCTAGTGAGTTAGATTTTTTAAAAAGTCAGTGCTAGCAGAAGATAATTTATCAAAAGAAACAAAAAAATGCCTATATTACAATGATGATGATGATGATGATGATGATGATGATGATGATGATGATGGCAAGGTCTTGCTGTATAGTTCAGGCCAGACCTCAACTCATTATGGACCCCAGACTGGACACAAACTCATGGTGATCCTCCTGTCTCAGCCTCTACGATCCTATGATTATAAACTTGTGCCACCAGGCTCAGCCTCATGTATTATTTCTGAAGGCTGCACAAGAAGCATTAGACAAGATCTTTATACTTTTCTGAGGCTGAAACTGAAAACCATGCATTCAGTTCCCAGAAAGACTCAGATTTTCTGCGCAGAGCACTTGCTAGGTGGTGTCGAGGGGCTCATGCTACTGATTCTTCCCTTGGATGTGAGAGAGTGAATGGGACCTAAAGGTCTCCCACAAGTGCCCAAGCAACCCCTAATTTCATGAGATTTAGGAATCTCAAGGACATTCAAATCACAAGGCCCGGAGATTTCAGTTCGGTGACTTAGAGAGGGAGTTAAGTGTTCTGATGTTCAGTTCTTTGTCCTGCGTCCAAATACCTGCAGGGAATGGTATGCAGCCAGTGCTTGTTTGGCTTGCAGAGCCTCTCTCTTGGCTGAGTTTCTAGCATTTCCGAATGCTGTTCTTCTGTGCAGTTTTTTCCAGCGTCACTGACTATGGTCAGTCCTCAGCAGACCCAAAGAGCAGGGCAATGGTGACCTTCTAGCAAAGTTACCCTGTCGCTAAGTAACTTGCTCTTGCAGTTTCATACATGTTACAAACACTGGCCTCCTTGCCCTTTGTGTCAAGCCCATTGGAATGATTTGACCTTTAGTAAAATTTCCCATCAGTTAACTTGTACACTTTATCCTGAACTGATTCCAGTAGAATAGATTTGTTTTCAAAGTAGGTAGCTTTAGTTATTTACTCACTTAAAGATATCAACAGCATATCTCCCTGGAATCCAGACCAGCCTCCTGCTTTGCCATAGACTTCTAATATCTGTATAATATGTAGCATATATGCAGGACTTTCCTAGTGGTCTTGTAACTTTTTGCCCCTCTCTGTTCTCTTCTTGCTCCAATCCATCATTCCAAGCTAATCTTTTCAAATTCACTTTCACTGTTTTCAGTCTTTGTTTATTATTTACTTAGTTGGTTTTAGGTTTTTTGAGACAGAGTCTCACTACATAGTTCAGGCTGATCTTAAAGTTACTACATAGCCCAGTCTGGCCTCAAACTCACAGCAGTCCTCCTGCCTCAGCCTCCCAAGGGCTGGGATTACAGGTGTGCATCACCACACCTTAGTTCTTCATCTCATCCTGCCCTCCCCTGCTTACTGTATTTACTGTTCCACCGCTGCTCTTAGGAGAAATCAAACAAGAGGACTTTTAGTAACTATCTGGCTCACCTTTCTTATTTTACAGGGCAGGAATAGGTCCCTAGGGATGATGGGACTAGCTGAGTGCCTTTCTATAGGACTCTGGTGTTAGAACTGTTCCTGGTGAACCTTGCTGCCTCCCATTAGAACTTCTCGGTCCAGCATTCCAAAGCCTCTCTTTAATGTGGCTTTCCTGATGTATTTCTTATGTCTTATCCATTTGATCTCTCTAAAACACCCCGAGCTTCAGTTCTTTGCCTTTGCCTATGACCTTCTCTATTTAGAATGTCCATTCCGTAACATCTAACACTCATAAACACTCACACACATTCCCACGCTGTGCCTAACGACTTGGCATTTCATATGTCTTATGTAACCTTTATAGATCCATCAACTAGATTCTATTATGATTCCTCTTTTACACACATGGAAATGCAGATGAAGTGATTTGTCCGAGACTCTGCAGGACCAGGTTCCATCCAATGCAGGCACTTTGTCTCCAGAAGCTGTGCTGTTGGTGCCAGCATCAAACTCAGTGCCTCGGAGAAACATCTGTGTTATAGGCCAAAAGGTTCCTCTGCTTGGAAAACTTTCCTCAGTGATCAATATGCATCAGGGAAGCCGAACTTACAGGAAGGCTCTTTCTGAGTGCTATTCCATACACTGTAAGTGCTTAGAAAGTAATATATTAATTCACAAAGTGACTTCTTCTAAATTCTCTTCCAGATGTAATGTCAGTAAAGAAAAGGGAGTCAGGGTATGCATTGTACTTTTGCATCATCACTCTTGTTGCCTGTGGCTTTGGAAATGCATTTAACTTTCCTGACCCTCCCGGTCTTCATTTGTAAATAGGTTTAATAAGATAAACCTTGTGGGGATGTGGTAGAGACGATATATGATTTCATATTTGGCAATATTTCAAATTGTCAAATATGTTTTAAAAAATAGTATTATCATTCAGTCCTGCTACAAAATAAATATCTGTGAATCATCTTCATATGGAAAGACGTACCCCTGCATCCCCCACAGCGATAGAAGTGTGGAGATTCCAGGATCACTGTCAAAGAATTTGTAGGGTGTCTTTGCTTCTTTGAACTGATTTTTATATATAAATTCTTCATAAAATGGAATTAGCCAGCATATCCCTGACATTCTTCTCTGTTGTTTAGATTGCTGATCCGAAATTTTATAAATAGTAATTCAGCTTATATTTTTAAAGTAACTCTTAAGAAGAGGCTAGTCATTAAGCGGTTTGAGTGTAGAAAGCAGGCCTCTTCTTGCCGCATTTTTGCATGTGTTGTGCCTGGATCATGAAAGCAGCCGTTCAGCGTCCTATTTCAGCTTTCACGCCTGTGAAGGTGTCTGATTATGTCTTTGCCTCTAGAGCTTGCGATACATGACTGGGCCACTTGGCTTTGCAAAGACGGGGATGAATATTAAGAAGACAAAAGAAATTGGGGAGGCAGGGTGGGCAGCTGGACTGAAAGGAAGAAGTCAAGGGGAAAGAGCAAGACAGCAGCTGAAGAGGGTGAAAAATGAAAATGCCACCCTCTGAGCCACCCAGATGCGTTTCCAGGAGGCAGCCAGAATTCTGCTGTTTTACTGGAGATGGTGTGGAGAGTGATAATGCTATGAGGTCACAGGTGGAAAATAGTCCATGCGAGTGTCTGTAGAGGATGAAAATGTGTGGCAGAGCCCAGGGCCCGTGGAGGCTTTGCTGTTAGTGGGGCCCAGATTCTGTACCAGGTTTAACACCTCTTGGCTATGTAATTTTAGTCATATTACTTGACCCCTTTGAGCCTCAATTTTTCACCTGTAAACAGAGATACTGATTCAGCCAGATCTAAAGATTGGTTTGATGTGTGACATATGCCCTTAAAGAGCACTGTGCCTGGCACATAGCAAATATGCAACAAGTATTAGACACTTATTAGTTTTGCTTTATCAAGCGACCTGAAGAAAGAGCAGATGGACCAAGTGTGTTAGCTCAAGGTCCAGCCGAGTGAGAGGTTCCCACTGGAAGTGGTAGGTGGACAGTGGGACCAGCTACTGCTTTGGCTCCTTTTGCATATTTAGTCTTTGCTGGATTCTTTGCTCTCCAGGTTGTTCTCAGATTCTAGAAGTTATTGGCAAAACCAAGAAGCCAAAATGTGGTTTATATTATGGAAGGCTGGTAGGAGGAGATGATCTAGTTTTGTAAACACCCATATGATTTAAACTTCCTATGGATAAAATGAAGTTTTTAGAGACAGGCAGAATGGAGTCACCTTTGCTACCTTTGTTTTAGTTACTTTTCCTGTTGGTAGGACAAAAAATGCAGCACCTACAACTTAGAGGAGGAAATGTTTATGACACAAATTTCAGTTCCTGGTTGGCAAACTCCAAAGAAGAAACGGCATGACAGCAGGGTTGGATAAAGAGGAGCTCCTGGCTTCATGGCAGCCAGGGAGCAGATAGAGGAGAAGGGAAGAGAGGAAGGTGATACACCCTTCGGGGTCATATCCCCCATTGACCTGGCTCTTCTTACCAGGTTTCTGCCCCTGAAACCTTTCAAAAATGCCCACCTAAGGTCACACGAGGCTTTGGGGGTTATCTATACAAACCATAACAGCCTTTAGAATCATTCCCCTATTTAGGTCTCAGTAAAGGATAATTGAATATTTACAATATATCTGGCACATTCACTTAACAAATAAATTATTATTTGACATAAGTAGCTAAATCTCCATTTTACAAATGAGGAAAACCAAGTTACAGAGTTTAATTGGTTTCTAAATCCCAGGTTCCAAGTCCATTGTGTATTCTTTTATGCCAGAATGACCAACATAAATAAAGTTAGATATTTTTAAGGCTTTTAAGGAACGTAGGCAAATATTTGAGGGATCTTAAGGGGTCAGCCCAAGGTAAGTGGATTAAGTTATATCACAAACTTAATCTTTCTAAATTATTTAACTTATAAAGCATTTACATTGAGAAACTAGCAGTCTATTGAAGTTTCAGGGACTTTTTAGGATCAGTGTAGAATAGTACTTTCCCAACTTGAGCTTGCACCAGAATCTCTTAGAGGACTTCAGGAAAATTGAGTAAGTCTGATACGACCAGAGAATAGCATTTCTAGACGGTTCTCTGTTGATACTGACACCTCACTTTGAGTCACTGACAAGAAAAGCACATTTTATTGCTAATTATATGGAAAGACAGGTTGGAAAATAGTGCTAGAAGAATTCCAGATCTGGAGCTGGAAGCTGAAGTTTGTATGAAGTTTCTAAAACAGTTTGAGAGCCATAAGTTTCATATTACTACTTATTTTGTTTTGGAGGTGCATTTGCCTGTAAGAGAAATAAAGAAATGGTAGGTGAACAGTATGGTGACTAATTGATGTTAATTGACATGTATGAAGCTTTAAAAATTTTTTTTTCATCTTTGTAGGTAGCGAATCTTCCAAAAGATTATCTGATAACCCTCAACTATGTCACCGGGATGGACGTTTTGGTATGTACATTTTGTTTTAATGCCCGACAGTAGAGATAAGATCATTCATATTGAGATAAGGAATTATCTGCTGTTTAGGACTTTGCTGGTTTGAAGAAAGTATCTTGGAACTTGACCTGCAGTGTTTTTTCTCAAACATCTGTTATATTTTATCAGTGAGCATTTCAGGACATGATACTACTAAAGTAAATAAAATTAGTTTTAGACCTAAGCTGTAGATTCTTTTTTTCTCTCAGTCTTCCTCAAAAAGATCTGCTGATAAAACTATATAAATTCTTATATCTGTCTCTTTCATTCCAATTTAATTTGAGAACACAAAATATTTTATCTATGAACTTAGTGCAATAGATTCTTGGAAACTTACAATAAAAATATGTGGTCACCATTACAGCACTGTATTATTGAAACCAAGAGTTGTAATTAATTTTCTTATTGCATGCAGTATTATCAGAGTTCATACATGAAATAATATTTCAATCAAAAAATAATGTAGTATGTATTATTCTCATCAGAAAGCTTTATCAAACCTTACCCCATTTTGCAATATTTGCTTCAAATATATCCCCTAAGCATTAAATATTGTAACTATAGCCTGGTATGTGTTCCTGCCCTGTTTCCATTACTCCTCACTGTGTGGCTCAGTAGTAATAATTTTTTGAGCTATGGTTTTTCATTTCAGTGCACGTTTTCAGGTGTTGAGCTAGGTACAGCATCCCCTGGAGATTCATAGTAACTCTGCGTGCTTTTAATTTAAAGTATTCATCTCTATGTAAGATATCAAACATTTGCTATTTTTAAAATTGCATGTTAATGCTGTTCTACTGTAAAGATCACTTTGCAACTTGACAACCTTTTTAATGTGCCATTTCATGCTGATTCATTATAACTATTGTGATTCTGGAGTAAATGTAAAACCATTTGGAGTACTTTCTTCTCTGCAACTATCATCATTCCAGAAGTTTCCACATACTCATGACTTACAGACTTTATGCAAGCTATTCTGAGTAATTTTGTGGGCCAGTCAGCCAAAATTAAAAGCATTGTAAGTGCATCACTGGTGTGCTTTGAAACATGGCTTTTGTTTCAAGAGACCGCTCCTGAATGGATGGTTCTGTTTCTTTCATTAAGAGCTGCCTGAAGCTCTTGAGAAATCCTTAGAACATGTAATCTTCATATTGAAACAGTTATCTTAAGGCTTGAGGTCAAAGTCTTAAGGTAGGGAAAGTTCCTTGAAAATAGAAATGTAAAAATTACAGCAATCTGAAAGATAATTCATCCAGTCATCTGATTACTCATTCTGCAAGTTTTTGGTTAAGTATTTGGCTAGACAGTTTAAGAAATGTTCTGTATTACGTGTACCCTTACACCGCTTTGGTCTGTTTTGTGTTTTTCTCTTTTTCCTCTTAAATAAAAAAAAAAAAAAAAAGAAACACCACACTTTCTACTAGAAAATGACCTTGTATGTTTAAAAATGTTAGTAATAATGAGAAAGATATTACTTGGCCTTTCATAACACTTTGCCATTTGCAGGATGATTTCACATAGTTTTTCCCTTGAATGATTTAGAAAAACTGTAGAATAGCTATTATTATTTCTGTCTAACAAATGACATCATGGGGTATACAGCCCTGAACTATTTTGCCTGAAGTTGTACAACTAGAAAGTGACAGTCTTAAAAAGAGCCCCCCAGGCCATCTGACTCTTAATCCAGAGTTGCAGAAAATAGAGACCTGAATAATTACAATGCCAAGAAGTGTTGGGACACTTCTAGGTAATGAAGACACAGCCCATCTCCTGACTACAGCAGTCTTTAGGATGGTGGTTGCCAGAGGTACTTAAGAAATTCTGCTGCTGTTTCCAAAACAAGTGTTAAGCAGTAAATAACCAAATAGATTTTTTCAATGCTAGTATCATCATAGATGTTGTTAAATTGTTGGTTTCAGTATTGGCTGTTGCAAATAAGCAAAAATCAGGCTTGTAAAAATAAAGCCAATTTTTTTTGCCATGTATTTTGTGCATGCTTTTATAGTTCAGAAAAGTTGCTATTATTTGATTTTGGCATACAGTCCTTGAATTACTCAAGAAACATTGTTCTTGGCCAACATACTTGGCAAGAAGAGCAACCCCATGCGTAGGGCTATGGGCGGTAAGTGGGGTCTCTCCTTTTGATTTACCATCCTTTAAAAGTGTTAATCTCTGCCCAGACCAGAGGGGTTTCCCAGTAGAGAGGGCTGTGATTATTTGTCACTGGTCAGAGTCCCAGCTGCTTTATCTTTTCTCTTGAAACAAAAGAGGGTGGAGTGAAAGTGGCAGCCAGGAAGATTTCCTGGAGCAAAAGCAATAACATTTTGCCAGAGGTGTGGGACAGAAGAAAGCTCCAGATAGGATACAGTTATTTTTCTTCCTTTTGTTTTAAAACTCTGCTAAATCACCCTGAAAAATGGCATCTATTTTCCCAAGGGCCTTCTGAGAAAATGACCTGCCAGATTCTCACAAATAGCAAGTTATAATCAACCAGTTGGTATTTAAACTCAGTGATAATCACCAATGCTATTTTAAAATCTTCCAAACTGTAATATTGCCAGATGGTTAAGAATTCCTTAAGTTTATAACCTGAAAAATGCCTAGATGTTTCTGGTCCTTTTCATTTACCAGTAACATTATTGTAGAAAAAAACAAAAACTGACTTGCTGAATTTGTGTCACACATCTGCGTTCATTCTAATGTTTATAACATAAACAATGAGTTTTTTGTTGTAGATAAATTTCTTCATCAGTTTCTGAAATAAATTATTTACACACAGTTTTCTTTTTTTTTTTTTTTTTTTTTTTTTTTTCTTTTTTTTTTATTGGTACCAGGGATCGAACTCGCAACTGCCTGCTTGTAAGGCAGGTGCTTATGCCGCTGAGCTAAATCCCCAGCCCCATACACACAGTTTTCTTTAGCTTTTTGTTTCTAAATAATTTTGAATTTATAAAAAAGTAATGAGAATATTCAAAGGACACCATATATTTTTAATATAAATGCATCTATTTTAACATTCTACCTCATTTATTTTACCAATTTCTTTCTTTCCCTATGTGTGTATATATTTTTATTTTTATGAATCCATGGTTCAGTTGTATACATCATGGCCATTTCACTCTAAATACTTCCACATTTCATGAATGAAAAATATTTCTCTTATTTAATTACACTACATTTGCAACATTAGTAAATTATTTAGCAATAATTCTGACACTTTGACCTATTGCCTATATTTTGATTGTTTTAAACTTTTGCATTTATTTTCCTTTGGTACAAGATTTGATCTAGGATTATGAATTACATTTTGATATATGAACAAGGGTTGCCCAAAAAATTGGATGCCTTGTGCAGGCAATATGTTAGCTTTTTTGTTTTGCTGAAACACATACTTGACACCCAAGTTACAGTAGGAAAGGTTCTCTAGGCCACCACCATTCTGGAACATGATCCTCTGGGGCTGTCTTTTCATAGCAAAGTATTTCACCTTTGCCCCTCTAAAGATTAGATAAAAGGTAGAGTCTTGCTGTTTCTTGTGATACCTTCAGGCCATCTTTTTTATTCTCTTGTTCTTTTTCAGCAGTCAAGATCTCTTCTGCTCTATCTTTGCAGTTCACAGCTTTAATTGAACTTCCTTTCTGACAAAATTATATGGTTTAAATAATTCTTTGCTCTTTATTTTCAACATAAATCTGGCTAAGAGCCCCCAGCAGTAGCCATGACTTTGCCATAATTTAGACTGCTTTGAAATTTCTTTTGCCAGATTTATTAATCAACTGTCCTTAATTTTCAGTCACAGGCAAAGTCTCTGGATATAAGCACAATGCAGAAAAACTTTCTGCTAAATAATATACGCATTTTCTGGAGTCTAACAGTCAGTACAGTCCTTTTTCTCAGCAGAAACTTCCCAAGCCTGGTTTTTACCAGCATCACTTCTGTCAGCATTCTAGTCTTCTAAACTCTGACCATGATTTCCCATCAAGTATAGCCTAAGTTGTTTCACCTATAATTTTTGGTCAGCAACTCAGAACCTTTCTAAACTTATTTTGCAAGCCAGTCTCAAAAGCTCTCAAACTGCATTGTCAGGTATAATCACCTTAGTGACCCCACTCCTGGTACCAAATTTTGTTTTGTCTTATTGATGAGACAAAATGTATAGCATTCAGAGTTAAAGGAGGAAAGTTTTATTTAGCTCACAGTTTTTAGAGGTTTTAGTCTATAATTGACTGGCTCCATGGCAGGGTGGCATTCAGAACAATTCAGGCACAGTTCATGGTGGGCAGAAGGCAGCAAAACAACCAGATAAAGGACCTCGACAGTGTCTTTTTGCCCCTTATATCTTATCCAGGATACTTAAGGCAGATATCCTTGATAATCTTAATCCTAAGAGTACTTGAGTTTAGCATTGCACCATGAATCAATCTCAGCACCACACACTCAAGATCCAGCCATCTTTGAAAAAGCCCACTTTTGACTGCATGAGGCTTTGGAAGAACATGCAGACCCAAACTATAACAGTTACCTTACACATGATACGATACTTTACAGATGTAATTCAGATGAGAATTTTGAGTTAAGCAGATTATTTTGGATTAGCTGGGTGAGTATATTCTAATTTATGTGAATTTTTATAAAAGGGAAGCTGTTGTATCAGCACTAGAGAGAAAAGTTTGAAAATGTTACTCTTCTGGCTTGAAAGATGGAAAAAAGGTGATGAACCAAGCAAAACAATTGGCCTAGAGAAGCTGGAAAAGGCAAAGCAAAGAATTCTTCATGCAACATACAGAAGAAAGATAGCTTAATGATACCTGCTTTGTTCTTTTAACCACAATGGCTGTGAAATATGTTTGTGTTATAAGTCACCAACTTTGTGATAATTTATTATAGCAACAAAAGAAAACTAACAGGTTGTGTCTCTTTAGCTTCATTTAAGAATTTCTTAGTCTGTCTTTGTCTTTACAGCATTAAATTTTTGA